CCTTCTAATGAGTCGTGGCAGTTCTGTAGTACTTCTTGAATCATCGTCGAGGGTACTACTAGGCGCAGCATCGTGTCCTCTTGCTGTCGGTCACCTCTCAGAGGCCTCGTTCCCACATAGTAAAGCACATCGTCCTCACTTAGGACGAAGTGATCGGACATTTTCCAAGCGTACAGCAACTGGGGATCCAGCCGGACTGTGGACGATCCCTTCGTGGGCGGTGGAGATATAACGTTTGACCTCTTGGTTTCCAATGCTTCCGTTGCTAACGAGTCGGCCGATGCATTGTACTCCCGTACCACGTGTAGGTACTTGACCGATTTTAGTCGTGCAACGAGTTCTCGGTGGCGGTTGTGTTTGGTCATCAGCGACTCCTTCTTACACGCAATCACCCCTAGTGACTGCTGGATTGCCAGTCTCGAATCACCAACAATGACAAGGTCGGTGGCACCAATGTCTAGTGCCGCCTGAACTCCGTTGTTCATGCCCGAGTATTTGGCCATGTTCACCGTTGTTGCTTCGAGATAGGCACTCCCAGCGGTGACTATTGTCCAGTCAGGTAGTCGCCACACAATCCATGAGCAACTACAGTAGCCACCGTACTTCTCGGTTTTGGCCGATCCGTCGAACGAGACCACGAGCCCTCTGTAGGTTCGGGGTAACCGAGCGTACAGCAACTGGGGATCCAGCCGGACTGTGGACGATCCCTTCGTGGGCGGTGGAGATATAACGTTTGACCTCTTGGTTTCCAATGCTTCCGTTGCTAACGAGTCGGCCGATGTATTGTACTCCCGTACCGCGTGTAGGTACTTGACCGATTTTAGTCGTGCAACGAGTTCTCGGTGGCGGTTGAGTTGGGTCATCAGCGACTCCTTCTTACACGCAATCACCCCTAGTGACTGCTGGATTGCCTCCTTTGGATAGTCGACAAAGTGTTTCGGGACCACCGTCGCCTCCAGAACCCGAAGGTAAACTTGAATTCAAGTTGAACCCCGGGGAGCGATATGGTTGGTGGGTCGAGAATGATCGCGAAGAGGAAAGGCGTCCGTTTGATACGGTTCATGGAGCAGTGAACAATTTTAGGACGCAGGTATTAGTTGACACCGGAGCCACTGTGAGTATGATCAGTTTGGACCTTGCGCGTAGGCTCAAGATAACGTTAAATTCAAAGAAGCGGATCAAGGTGTCAGGACTAGGTGGCGTCCGGAGTTATATCACTTCGAGTGCCCAGATCAAGATCATTCTGGGATGGTGAGTTGTGTATGTCATGTACGTCTGGGTAACGAACATTGGAGAAGGAGTGGATGTACTCTTAGGAATGGATTTCATGTTCAGCGCTGGAGTACGTCTAGGCATTCGTGAAGGAATGGTAGGCCTCCCGGATGAAGAATCCATTTTGATGTATGACGAAGACGTGAATACCGGGATATCCCAGTCTGCTCCCTTCGAGGATTGCATCTCCGTCCGGAGAACATGCAAATGTGGCCATCCGATATGGACAGTGTCGCTCGCTCCAAGATGTTGTATGGGCAGGACGAGGGGAGCAATGGGTCACCCAGATTGTTTACGGCGTACGACCGTGGGCCGTAGCGATAAAAGTGGTCAACGTTTCGGACCGAGACTGTTGGATCGAGCCTAGGACGCCCGTTGCTCGGATTGCGGAATATGGGAACATCCCCATAGTTGGACAGTTCGTACGCCCTGGGTTACGAAGGTATATGGAATGGCAACAGTTTATCCAGGAAAACACATTGTCCACGATGGCTAGTCTGCGTCAGGAAGCGTATGAACAGATGCTTCGGGATGAGGCTCCGCCTGCAGTTATGGTTCCCAAATACAAATGGCCAACGAAGTTACTAGTGAGGCCAAGGGAACCCGAGCGAGCCCAGGTTAGGAAGATTGTGGAAGAATCACAACCGCAGAGAAACGTCAATGATGCGGAGTCAGCTGAGGATGCCACACTTGGGGCGTACTCCCCGAGTGTGATTGGTTCACTTATGGCTGTGGAAGTTTCAACTGAAGTTGTTACCCTGGATGTCAATACCCAGTATGACGGAGATGTTGCCAGTTTAGGACCCTGTGGTGAAGTCCTGGATGAGATGGCTCAGGGATCTGAATGCGATGCGTTCCAGGGTGACCTGAGTGTAGAAGACGAGGATTTCGAGTTACCTTCTTCTGCCGTACCCGGAACACCGCTCGCGAGACTTGATGCTGCGTATGCCAGGTGCATGCGAGTGAGCCCTGAAGAACTCGATTTGGAACCGGCGGTATATATTCGCGAAGGGAGTGAGCTTATGTCTCAGTTGAAGGGTCAGCTGATTATGCTACCCGACTTAGACGACCTCTCTCTTGAATGTGATATCGAGGCTGCTGACGTCGGAGAACCTGGCGAGAGCACGGAGGCTGAGGAAAAGCAGCTGAAGGCCGTCTTGAAAAGACACCAGAAGATCTTCTTAGGCGACGGAAATGCTGTCCCGCCCCCGGCAAGGAGCGTCATCTGTGATCTAGATGTGGGTGACGCCAAGACAGTTGCCCAACGACCCCGATCGGTCCGTCCGCACTTGTCAATCAAGGTGTACAAGTTGCTGAAGAAGCTCCTGGAAGTCACCCTGATTGAACACTCTGAGTCGCCATGGGCATCCCAAATTGTGATCGTGCTCAAGAAAAACGGAGTGGATATTTGAATGTGTATCGACTATCGGGTCGTGAACAGCTTTATTCAATTGTCGAACTACCCACTACCGCTGATTGACCTCATCGCTGGTTTCGAAGGAATGATGTGGTTCATGAGTCTTGATATGGCGAGTGGTTTCTGGGCAGTCCGATTGACCGAGAGGGCCAAGCTGATCTCGGCATTCACTTGCCCATTCGGGCATTTCCAATGGGTACATATGTCATTCGGGTTGAAAAACGCCCCACTGATTTACCAGCAGATGATCAACAATTGTCTGTGGGGATTGGTGCGGCTACCACCCGAGGAAGAAGCAATCGTGGATCAGGATGTGTTAGACTACTTGAAGTTAAATCCTCTGTCGCCGAGTGACGAAATGGATATAGAACGCAGTATGACACCGCTAGTAGAACAAATGACGGTTTTCAGGCGTCGGTTCTAGGACAGATGCATGATGGACTTGTTCAGCCTGTTCGATTCACGGGGCGCGTCTTGAATGATGCCGAGCTCAAGTACCATATTGCTGAGAAGGAAGGCCTTGCTGTGGTGCGAGTTCTCCATGTGTTGAAGAACCTGATCGAAGGCTGTCCGTTGATAATCTACACTCGATATTCGGTGTTGAAATGGGCCATCAATTCTAAGACCGCCGAAGGCCGTCTGGTGTCATGGGGCGTTGCCCTGTCACAGTACGACTTGGAAATCCGGAAGGTTTGTCGAGATGAGGATGGTTTACCCGCCATTATGGATGCAGGTATCACTCCCAGGGAGCACTTGGATGAAGTCGCCGAAGTACTCATTCCGGCCAAGGGGCGCGTCAGACCGCCTCCAGTCGTGAGTGTCGAAATGCTCTCAGAAGAGTACTCCGGGGTAGTACTGAGTTTCGATGGTGCGGCCAAAACTTCCACGAGGAAGGCAGCTGCGGATGCATTCTATGGCAGATACCTGAATGGAAGGTTATGGATGCTCGAGGATACATCCTGGATGGAGTCACCGTCAACGACGCGAAATATTTCGGATTGCCTATAGGGCTTGTAATGGCTTTGGAAAGAGAGATTCAGAACATAGTCGTTGTGGGTGACTCGAGAATTGTGCTTCAACAAGTTCAATGCCTGATTAATTGTAACCAGCCTAATCTCCAAAGGAGGCTAGCTGAATGTGAAACTCTGAAGAAGCGTTTCCAGACAATTCGATTGGTACACATGATGCGCAAGTTCAACCAGGCCGCCGATTACCTGACCTCAAAGACGCTTGTCCAAGGTGAATCCTAGACTGTTCAGGATGACCTCGAAAAACGACACGTGGAAGTGGTCTCTAAGATTCGCGAGCAGTTGGTGAAACCGTCGGAAGGCATTGACACTCGAGTCCATAGAGGAGACCCCATACAAGACTCTGGTGTAGAAGATGGCGATTCAGGAACAAACATGGTCCTGGCCCTGAATATGCACCTCTATCCGCTGCCGCCCGAGTCATGGCCGTACTCACGAGATCGCGAGCTCAAGTAGTTGATGATGACGCTAGCGGGTCCCCGAACGAATTCGACTTGCGCTTAACTCGGTAAAACTAACTCTGTTTATCACTCTTATACTTCGGCTATCTTCTTTTTAAATCATTCTGGTAATATCATGTGTTCTGTATACCTTTGGGGGAATTCGCTTGGTCTTTGTATAGGGTGGGTGTAGTTCGCTGTCGTCGACCTTGGACCTCGACGCCTTTGGGTCATCTCTTCTGCTCTGAAACTGGCCCTCTATCCGCAGGATTCTTGGTCTCACATACCACTCACAGTCGTAGGACGTCCGGGTTTGTTGTTCTAATATCTTGGTAGCTTGATAATGCTCGTGGTAATCGATGATCTCTGAAACCAGGCTTGGGGGTCTGGAACGAGGCCCGAATTCTCCGGGATGAGGCTCGTTTCAGTAATATTGAAGGTCATGATTTTTGGTATCTAGTCTATTTGTGTTCCATCGTAATCGTAACATGTTCACACAGTATTCTTGGACGCTGGATAATCCACACATTATAGTTCTTGACTTTCCTGGGGTATCTTGCGGTGTACTTTGAGTTGTTGCGGTCTGGGGTGGTGGTATTTTTTGCCTTGAACCAAGGCAATACAGGTTGTCTGCAGTGATACGTTCACGCAGACAATTTAAGCTTCTCCTTGGCAACCTGTGTTCAGGACGGGGCGGTTCCGGACCGAGCACATGTGCGTTCCAGAGTGTACATTACTAAAACGCGTGGTTCCGGAACTAAGGGCCCATCATTTGCTCTCCCCACACTCACCACTCACATCCAACTTTCTTTCCACAATTGCCACATCGTCTGCTCCACCTCCACCAATCAAGATCTCCGAATCTCCATTGTCGCACTCCAAAATCAGTCTATCCTAAAATCTGGGAAACTGCCTCATCACAATTTCATATTCAAACTAACGGGCATACTGTATAGCATACAAGCAACCGATCGAGACGCGTTACCGATGCCCTTCGGTGTTGTTGATACATCTGTGAAAAGTGGAGATTTCTCGTGGTGTCCGTGATCTTTGTGAGGTAAGCAGATCGCGCGCTTGGTGATGTGACACGAAGCGATTTGGAATTTCTCATGGAAGTAAAGATTTGTATGGATATCCAGAAATTCGGTAATGGATACAGGATCACCAGTGTGAATGTGTGAAAAAAGTGACTGTGGGATGTAAAGAGAAGCGATTGACATGGAGAAGAGCTATGGATGGGCCTTAGATTCTCGAAGAACTATGATGCTCAGTCCAGACTCGCCCTCGTCCTGACTACGGGTACTCAGGATTGTGAAAAGTGTTGGTGTAAAGGTATTGCACCGAACACCCCGTACTGCCTCAGTTCAACCCAGAAAACGTCAGTCCCAAGCTCAAGAACGTTACCAATGATGTATATTTGCACACAAGACTCACGATCCAAGAATAGATGGACAACAGATGGAGTGGTGACATGTTCTACCAGTATATTCCAGAGTCCGACCGAATATCCCAGAGTTCCTTGACTAATTTCCGGAATCCCGATGGAAATCCCTGAATCCGGACGCCAAAGTGTCAA